AGGGGAGGTTTTTTATTCCATCTTTAAGAAGTTCAGTCTATTCTCATTTGAGCATCATTGAACACATGATTTTTGTCAAAGATTAAAATATTGGTCGGTTCGAAAAGCGGTTCTGGTCATATTGAAGCACTGTCATTTTCAGATACACATGTCCAAAATCGAAGATAATGAATATGTGTCTAGCCCTGAAGTGTTTTCAGAATAAATATCTTTATTAAATTATTTGTGATAGGTGTATAATATTGTATATTTTGTGGAAGACCCTGATCCTTTAAAAAAACAAACCAAATGTGAATGTGAAGGCATTCTGACTTGTCTCATGAAATGTGCAAATCCTAGCAACACCTTGTGCAGTGAAGCCTAATGTGTAAACTTTGGAGCCTTGGTAAAGTGGCATGCTTTTCTCCAACAGCTGTAGTGTGTAAAGAAGTCCTGTTCAATTTACATCTGTCTGTCAAACCAGCCTGCTGAGTTACCACGGTAGCAGGTCCTGCCCCGGGCAACGATGAAGGCTGTACTGCTTATTCGGGCTCAGTAGCTCAGACTACAGTGCTAATGAGGTTTATTTTCCTGGTTATGTTGTGTTCTGTGAGGCAGTTTAACTGTTTTTGTTCTATTTTTTTACACCTGAACCCTGCCAAGTAAACAGCAGAAATTCTTCAAAACATTAAGCAATGAAGAAATCTAATAATATCACTTAGAAATCATGAGAGATTTACCCTTCATCATCACCATTTCCCCTTAACAGCCCTAAAGAAAATATTGACCACATGTCAAATCAATGCAGTCAACACAACCTTTTTGTAATCGTATTGCCAGTTTATTTTATTTATACTGTTTAATCAATAAAAAGAGGTGTTATGACACCCATCATTAATCAGTGAGAAAGCTGATTAGATATTAGTTACCTTATAATAAAACCAAGGTCTGGGAGCCTTAGGGTTCTTTACAGTATCTTAGCTTTTCTTAGCATCACCCTCTTCTGGACTGAGATCTCTGATGTTTCTCCAGGTATCTGTTGGAGCCACTTCTCCAGCGTAGGGGTTACTGCCTGAGTAGAGCACTCTGATGATCACGAGCACACCCTCCAGGTTCTTTCTGGTTCCTCCTCAAGTCCCTTATTTCTCAGGTTCTTTTTTCCTGATGTCTTCATCTCTTTGGATAGCCACATTGATTTACACAACTGTCCTTTGCTGCCTATGTCCAATTGGTTGGAGATTACCATTTTGTCTTTTTGTATCTCACAGGATATAATCTGTCAATCTCCATCACTTTTTGACATAGGGTCTTCAGTTTGTATTTTACACAGATGTTTCCCTACACTACACCCACCCCCTGAATATGGGGTGGGTGTATGGTGAATACTCCTTCACTGCCAGTGTCTTACACCCAACTGTGAGATGGTGGATTGTTTCTGGGGCCTCTTTACATAACCTGCACCAGGGATCTTGAATGCTCTAGTGCTCAAGTTTTTTTGTCTTTCAGTCCCGACCTCTCTAGCCATTTGTAGGATTTGATCATAGCCACTTCAGTTATCCATAAGAAGTACATTAGTTCCTTATCTTCCAGCTTCCAATGTCTGACACATTTACTAAATGCGCTTCATTCACTGGAGGAAGCTGCCTGAATCTTGGAGAGTGGTTGTTTTATCTTTAATGGTGACTGATGCTCACTAGGTCTCTCCCTCCTCTTTGTACTTATTGTATAGTCTGTGGATACTGATTATGAGTCAAATTTACCATGCATGGTGAGTATCTTTCATGTTTTAATACCAGTGGCCAGCATTTCCTCTTTTGGCAAACTTATTACCCCATCAAGGTATCTGATTAGCAGTGAGGCATAGCTGCTGGGGGCCAAGACCTTGTTCTCTTTATTGAGCTGACTTCTTAGAACTTGCCCTAATCGTCACAGGCTGTTGCTGCTTTCCTTGTGGCCATTTGCCTGTGGTATTCTGAGGTACCTATAACTCTCCTCTATACCTGCTATTCCTCCTTTTGAGGGTGCAATCCCCTCTTTTCTGTTGAGCGGAGCTGGTCTTTTAGCTTCTCCAATGTTTTCACCACTGCCTTTTTGCGCCTCTGTCATGTGTCAATCCATGTGCCCACTTATCTTTGCCACTATGATACTGGACAGGAGCTTTCATGTTGTGAAGGGGCTGATTAAGAGTTGTCCCCTTCTGGCGGTCTTTCATTTTCTTCACTGTCAAGCCCTAGGCCTGCCATTCGGAGTGGGTCCCATTCTTTAGCAGTTGCTTGATTTGTGCTGCAAGGAGCAATATATAAATATATATGCATATATGTTACTATAAATGCACTATCCTACACCTTGGTGAAGAAGTCCACAGGCCTTGCATTTCTCTAGCAAAAAAAGTGATAGCATATAATCATAGGAATAAGTGGCAGAAAACATGTGACAGGAGGTAAAAGTAGAGGAATAATTGCAGCCTTTAGAGCCAGTGTTAAGCCAGTTAATGCTTAACAAATAATGTAATATCTCGCCTCAAATAAAGCACAAAATGCATATGTAGGTCAACATCATTTACAAACCACCATAATCTGTCATAGTAGAATTTGTATTTAAGAATTAAGTTTGTAATTATGGCCACTTTTCATCCTCTTGTCACCGTCCTCATTCAACCCTGTGATTGTTTATCTCTTGGGTGCAGAAAATACTTTTTATGGTGCTTCTCAAATTAACTTGTACAGTTTTTAAACTCAACAGGCGCAAATAGGTCTCTTTTTATAATGGGAGATTGAGTCTCAGGGGGAATAATTCAAATAAATGCAGAACTTTTATATTCAGTGTATACAGGGTCTGGGATGTTGTGGAACTTTTCATTTTTTAAACATCCTGACAGCCATATTAGAGCACATGGCTTAGTGAACTCTTAATATCTGGTCAATTACAAATACTACATTTGGTGGGTTTTGCCATGAAATTTTACAACTGGAATTAAATTCTACCTTTTAAATATTCTTTTAAAACATCCAAAGCATTTAGCCAAAACAAACCACTTGCATTCATGTGTCTTTATTCGTTTTTTTAAAAAACAAAGTGGCAACAAATCTGATTTAATTTGAAGTATGCATCAAAAATTATGTAATATTTTATAACTGACCTGACCTGAAATGTTATGTTATTCGTACATTTTAGGTTGCATTTGTCCCCAAAGTAGATGTGTTTTAGGTTTTCCACCGTTTTTCTCTTCCTAGGTAATAGCAGCGAAGTTATCACCGCTTCTTTGTTGGTGTACGTCCGGTTAAATATAACCTTGATCTATCTTGGTCAGACTATCAGGAGAAGTTGCTGAGCACCCCGAGTGAGTGACCCCTTTCACTTCAACTTCAACATGCTCTTATCGCTACCATACAATGGGTTTTTTTTTTGTGTCAGATTCTTATCAAAAAATAATCCATTTTGTTTTGGGGGTCAGTCTCTATTCCTTGACATGATAGAAAACATGAAGAATAAGTGACTGAGAACAATAGGAATCCAAAGACAATATGACAAAGTATTTATAAGATGGATATTAGGAATCTGCTATTAAAAAAAATGCTTCTTATTCATGTTTTCGTTCAGCTCTAGTACTTTTTAAGATGAAAAATAATTACTTAAAACTACAAAAACTTTTTTCAATTTGATATCCTTATTTGCTATTTGAAACTGGTGAACCAAAACTGCCCATTGTGACGGCAAATTCTACAGAAGCACTTGTATTTTGTTATTGTGCCTTATGTTGACCTTAGTCATTCCAGAAGCAAGATGATCACATGTACCGAGTTCTATTGCCAAGACTTCACATCCAAGTCAATTTCACAGCTCAGCTCTAGTGAGTTTTTCTCCATTTCGTCTCTTTCAAACTCAATTTCAAAGAGGTGTGGGAGACAGCAGTGGCCTTGCTGTTGTTCGATCACATTTTCTCATTAATTTAAAGCCACTGAAGATGCCTTCCGATTAAGACATGAATAATGAATGGATCTTTTCGTCTCCTTGCGGTAGGAGAAGCCCCATTTAATTCACTGCCTATCCAAGTATATTAGGGGTACCACTTCTCAATAATTAAAAAAAAGAAACATCAGAGTCAGAAATGTGACAATGTTGTTTTGAACATTATAAACAGACAGTCAGGATGAGTTTATAGCTATGTTAAGCAGCATCAGGGCAAAACCTTTAACCATAGAATAATGCTTATGTTTGGATGTGCCTCAAATAATATGCCATGCAATCCAAAGGTTAGCTCCAAGCTGTCAGAACATGACAGACTTGTCATATTTCAAAGGAGATTCTCGGATCAAAGGTCCTGATGTGATTTAAGCTTAAATTTGCAGGTAATTGGGTATTATGACGTTATTTCTTCTCCCCGGTGTTGAAAAAGTAACAAGAAAACGAACTGACAGAGTGGATGGATTTCTGTTTTGATGCATCTATCAATATGCAGGGACTATTAATGTAAAGGATAAATGCACTTCAGTATATGAGTTTGAAATTATAGAGACCACAGATGTTTGGGCTCATTGAGTAATCTTCATTCAGCAGGGTTCTCCTGATTATCATAGCATTAATGCTACATATGAAGCCATCCATTAATAATTCAAGACCTTGTCTAGCTCAATTACGGACCTCCCTCTAGTTAGTTCTCATATTCTGTTAGTGCCACATGTGATGCTTTCCTGCAGGATGGTTGTCAAGGTGCTATGTCTCCCCCTAAAGGTATCTATAGGAACTAAGCAGGGGCTTTATGTCTGCATCTGTGTGTGTCTCACACATGATGAAATGCTGAACTGATAGGCAGGATAATCATATAAACACAGAGCAGCATTTAAATCAGCACAAATTATAGATCCCTGTCTCATTTGATGACACATTAGGCACAAGTGGATATTATTAGGCTAGTAAATTTATTGGAATTATAGGGAGATAATATATGCATCTAATTAAAGCCATATTTATATTGTTTTGAGCTAAAAAGTGACTGCAGAAAAATTTGGCTTAATCAAATGTATTTATAACCTGTTTTATTTTACAAGTTGAAACATCAAATAACAGACTTTTTATGCATGTGTGCAACTTAATACAAAGCTTTAAAAGTGCCTACAAATGTAAAAAGAGAGAAACATTACATAAAATCAGAGAGTTTTTCTTTGACCTTTTCTTCGATGTTTGCATAGTATTTCATTTGTGTAAGCAGGTCTTTTGCAGTGTGAAGCTCTCCTGTTCAAAGAAGAAAGGCAAAGTTTCAACAGAAAGCTTAATCAATGACTGACTTAGCAAATAGGAAAAGCTATTCTGCATAGCTTAAAAGCAAACAAACGGTTCAAGTGGGAAGAATACACAATGTTTTTACAGAGGGATCTGATTATAATACCTTTGTGAAGGGCAGCATCTATCTGCTCCGTCAAGTCTGCGAGTTTCCCTGCAGGGGAGAAGAAGACAGAGCTGCAATTCTGTGTGTGCTAATAAGACGAGGCATATTCAGTCTGTTGCTTTTCGTTCCTCCACACTCAACAGCTCACAAGTCTCCCTGCTTTATTCAAAGTAAACAACCATGTTTGGAAAAATCAAAGACAGGCAGCTTGTTAACCCTCAATTTATGGCCAGTACTTGGCTTACAGATTTACACATTGTCCAGATTCGCTCCGCTGCACTGCAAACTTCTCGGTCCCCCAAATGTATAATATGTCCGCTCCACTATGGTGCAAAGCCCACAGGAGCTCCAAGGAGCATGCGCAGATTGCGGAATAAAAGCCTGTGATCAATGCCGAAGTCAGATTAGAAATAATCTCCTTCCATGGATTTAGAAACGGTTAAAACTTCTTCACTTTTCATTTTTAGGAATCCAAATATTTTAGGAGATATATTCTACAATGATTGAGTGCACAGAACCAAAGTTTGTTCATTTAATGTTCAATCATAAGGTTTTGATTATCTAGGGTAATATAGCCCAGTAATTCATCTAGTATGTTCAGTTGATAATATACATACAAATATGTAAAATATACTAGTAAAACCTTAATATAGAAGGTCTTTCGTAAACTATTTTGAAAATCCTGATGCTGTAATCGTTTAGTTTCCTGTTGGAAAGATGTGATTTCAGAATATTTACTACAGTCTTGCTGCGGCATCTGGCAAAAGAAGAACGGCATGCCATTTTTCTGGCGTGCCGTTCGCTCACTGCTGCACAGAGAAACCGTAAATGCTTTTATTGATGATAATTTCTGTGTATTTGCTGCACAGCTTAAAGCTTGGCGGGGCAGCATGTACACCAAGCTAACTTTTTAAATATGCAGATTATTAAATATGTTAAATTCAAACTTAGTATACTTTATTTGTAATGACTTGATGCCAAAATAATCGAAGAGTATTTAAAATACCTTTCCAGGTTTTCATATGTTAAAACCACAAATTGCAACCTGTTCCATTGGGATTTTATCTAGTAGAACAGCATAGAGCAGTTATTTTGGGTCTATATACTCCAATAAACTATTATTTCATAATTAAATCAGCTGATCATTGTTTCAATATTTAATGCATCTGTTAAATGTCCTAGCCCAGCATGAATGTTGACTATAAAAGTATCACAGCATTAAAAGCACGTTTCTGTAGGACACTCTCGAGTCCAGACTATATATAATTTTCATATGATTCCCAAGTCATGCCATTTTATTCAGAATATAAAAAGAAGCAGGATGTAACACTGTGAGATATGACCAACTGGTATGTGGGCTGTCTTTTGGCACTCACTTGATGTTTCTGAAGCTAGAAGCTGCTATGTTTGGAAAGGCTCTTTATAGGGGCTGCATAGTAATACTTAACACATAATTGAAGCTCTCAGGACACAGATTAGAAAAGTTTAGAAATGAAAACCGCACAATAACGTTGATCCCTGGTCAGAGGTGACGTCAGCAATCTTTGATTAAGTGCAACCGCATGTGGATCAAACAACCAGCATAACCAAGCGAGAGAATGACGACTAGAAAAACAAGCATGTGCTGTTTTTTGTTAATCCTACAGTCTTAGCAGGCTATTAAAAAGTTAAAGGTTCTAAAATACTCATCATTTAAAAATGACACATTTCCAGAGTGGTTGGTTTATATTCGTTGAATTTGAATTCATAAAAAGTATTCAAATCTTCCACTTTGGATTTATAGCTGATACTTCTATGAAGGAAGGAAGGAAGGAAGGAAGGAAGGAAGGAAGGAAGGAAGGAAGGAAGGAAGGAAGGAAGGAAGGAAGGAAGGAAGGAAGGAAGGAAGGAAGGAAGGAAGGAAGGAAGGAAGGAAGGAAGGAAGGAAGGAAGGAATCCATGGGATCAGGAATAAAATGTTTGTTAATCCAAATAACTCCATTTTATTTCTCTGCAAAACTAATTCTTTCCAAAACTTGGGAAACCCTTGAACCAAATTTCAGACATTCCTGAACTGTGTGAGAGTGCTGCACATCAATGGTGTCCACAGTCGATCCTTAAGGGCTGGTGTCTTTCATCTTTTATATCTTCCTCTGGTTCAATAACCCAAATTCAAATGATGGTTCATTATCAGGGCCCTGCAGGAGTTGATAGCATGCTGAGGAGTCCGTTGGATTAGTTCAGGTGGGGCATCTACAACCTGCAAGGTGCTCTGACTTCAGGCTTGAAGACTGGAGTCAGATCCCCCTGCTGTACACGGTTTTTGATGTGTACAGAAAAGTATTATAAAACTGAGTGTTGCTAAACTTAAATTCTTAGTCATCATCAGCATCATCTCCTATCAAGCTTTGGGGGACCTCATTAGCAAGAAAATATGATAAAATTTCAAAACAAATCCATATCTGATGGACATATAGGTAAAAGTTTCACTTTTTTTTTTATTTCTTTAGGAGCTCTGTCTTGCTTATTCTAACAGTCACGAATTCAAGAATACCTTAAACCAAGCCTATACCTTTGGTGTCTTGGCCGATCTTATTGACTTCTTCTGGACTCTGGGCATCATCGAGGGCTTCATTGATCTCCATCAACTCCATTAGGAAGTGTGACTCAGCCACAGAGTCAGTTCCCTCCTTTAGATGCATCCCCTCAAGCTCCAGCTGAAACATACAAATGGAGTCCATCAAACATACCGCTCTTCTAAAGAAAACTCATGGCTGTAGAATTGCAGTAAACAAGCAATCAGTTCAGCAGGGCTTCCATTCGCAAAATGGACAATAACACTCACCATGTAAAGACCTCGAGTCAAAGGCTTCAGCAAAGTCTTGTATGCTTTGCTCACCAGGGCAGACTGACTCTCTGAATACTCCTGTTCTTTCTGCAAAAGATTAATTTCGGTACAAGTAATTAACATTTACTCCATATTTAATCATTAAAATGTAAGAATTCTACATTAAGAACAATGTGCCTTTCATTTGAAACAAGCTAACACTCACTATAGAAAAAAAAAAGAACATTGCACCCTTCAGAGGGAATAAATTCAGAGCTACTTCACGCCTTGTCGTCCTCATCTCCACCACTGTCAAACACCGGATCCTTGGTGATATTGACAATTAGGTGCATGCCACACAATATCTTTTTTTTTCTTGTAGCCTTGCAGTTTTGGGGCTTTGCAGGGAATGTAAGTGTGAGTTTGACATGAAAATTGAAATGAGGCAGGGAGGAAAATACCAAGGAAATGCTTGGCAGATCTAAGTACATTTTGCAGCTATCAGGTCTGTCAGCTCTAGTGAAAATCAATAGTCTCACTCTCTGGCCCATGGGCTTGTCGTGTAAAGCTATTTCGGTAAGAACAACCAATGGAGTGGGTGGCTACCTTGTCACCTTATTTAAGTAATGAGCTTCTTTCTCTGTGTTTAAGACCCCTGAGGCAGGAGGATGCCTGGTTAATAAAGAATTACAGGAGGAGGTGATAAATAAAACAGAATTAAGATAATATTGGCTAGATTGTTTTAGACATTTTCAATATGCCTCCACACATTCTGCTGGTTCCTAGTTCAGCTTTATGCAATAATAAACATTGACTATTTTTACTGTTGAAACAAAACATTATGTTCTCCTCTTAAATTTCAGTTTAAGGTTAAGATTTAAAACCACAATTTCATTTTTCAGAAGGATTCCTGTAGAGAAATAGACATTGTGAAGATTGGCCACAAAGAACCAGCTTGTGTTGTGAGCAAAATTTTAATCACATTCTAATTTCAATATTCCAAAGTAAGAGATATGCATATCATTAGGGAGCCTTACATTTACTAGCACATCCAGTTAGTTACCTGAGAAAAAAAATCATATTGTACTTCTTTACACATACTTCTTTAAGTAGTATGTGTTTTTGAATGGGGACCCATTTCTGGTTGTATTTGGCCATATATCCATTTACATGTTATTACATGTATGCATTCCAGCTAGATTCCCATGGCTTTTGAAAAAAAAAAATTTTTTATTGCAACGTCACCAATTCTTCAAATTTTTAACATACAATGTTGTGAACAGTACTGCTTAAATGTTTCAGATCTTCTACCAAACATTAATATCAGACAGAGACAACCTAAATGAAGATTAACTGATTAAAAGATTTGACACCCTGTAAATAACTACTATTTATGTTCAGTTTCGCGACCCACAGCCAGACCTGATTACTACCAGAACTAAAGAACCAACAAATCAGTGCAATGTAAGATGTCTGACAACATCAAGTCAGCTAGAATATTTAATATTAAGCAATATTTATGTATCCCAGTCTGGAAATGGTTACAAAGCCATTACAAAAGTTTCTGGGCAGGAATGAAATTCAGGCAGTGCCCCTCTATACAAATGGAGACAACACAGAAATCACAAAAGAAGCAAGACCCACACCTTAAGCACTGCAGGCCTCACTTGCTTCAGTTAAATCAATACAGTAACTTTTAACAAATTTATTAGCTTCATTTGAGAGAGGTCAAATGATTTGTTCAAGTCAATATACAGCACTTGGTGCAAATGGATGCTCTGTCGGGCTGTCATTCTTAAAAACTCGCCTATGTAACTTCAGAGGGTTAACGAGCACTGAATGAGTCATGTTACCCAAAGAGACACTTTATGGCAGTCTAAGCTCCCCTTAAACACCAGACCTAAAAGTTATATGGTACGTGTATGATCAGATATATTTCTGGTTCTGTGATTTAGGATTTCATCTAGAGAAGTGAACGTCGCCTCTTTATAGTAACTCCAGGAGTTTTGAAATCTGCTGGGACAAAGTGGTTTGCCATCAGATTATAAAATTTAGGACCGTTTCATTTTATGGCATTGCAGTGTTGACCATTTTTTTTCAGGAGCCCCAAACCTGGATATTAAATGTCTAGAGCTGCTTGTGGCTAATAGATAAAAAGTGTTGCTTTAAGGTTGATGGTTATGGTTTAACAATAAGAAAGAGACTGGACCAAAAATCACATCTATGAAACAATTAAAAGGAAAAACCAAACCTCAGATAAAACAAAGGCCAGTTTAACATTTCCTAGAAACCCATAAAGATTGATTTCTAGGAATTTTAGGGTAATATTCTGTGGCCTGACAGAAAAGTCAAATTTTCTGGAAGAGTCTGGTTTCACTGTTGATAAGAAAAGACAAATAACCATGGCAGTGACATTGTGTAATGATGAGAAATGAATGGCTGAGTCACAACTTGTTTAAACCTTTGGGAAACGGAAAGCCATAGAAAAATAAATGAATAGTTCTTGCTCTAAATAAAAATGAAAGCAGAGTCTAAAAGGATGATTCGGTTATATTTACATTTCTAAGAATTGTTGGATGTCCTTAGACATGTGTTACAATCTCTGAACAAGGGGGTTTGTTTTATTCAATTAAAAAGGTGTGACTTTTATATTATACAAAAGAATATTTTTTTCAGAAACAAAAAGTTGTCACGCATTTTTAAAGGCTGATGACAAGTGTTAAATTGGCTGTAACTACAATAAAAGAGTTTTATTTGATAGTTCCAAATTTTTGTGCAAGGAGTATTTAATAGTTTGTAGACAGTGTAAAAGATGATGACAAGATTCTTGCTAAATTTACTTCATTCTTTATTTAAAAAACCCTAAAAGTGTGTAAAAAAAACAGGTGTCTATTTTGTCTGCCTGTTTCTAATGCACTGCAAAACAGATTTATTATGCACACTTATTTGTGACTTAATAATCCAAAACAGTAGACATCAGGGAGAGCCTTTCTACAACCAGAATTAATAACTATTCTAGACATAATTGATTTTCTGAGTCCGTATATTAAATATTTCTGTAAAAGTGGCAGCACGCACATGAGATAAATTATACATTTCATATAAAATGAGCAAAACAACACTAAACAACTACGCTGTGCTATCAGCCTAATACAGGCAGAAATATTTAATTATAATCAAAAAAACCTCTGACAAGAAAAGAAAAACATGGCTCCCATGGTTTTACAAAGCTACAATGTTAGGAGCAGATGTCAGCTATGAAACAGTTGTGCATCCAATCTAATCCTCCACATATGGCAAATGCTTCAGTAAAGAAGATGCCATCCACAGCAGGACAGCACCATAATGACTAATAAAGGGAATAATTGACATGTAAAGCAACGTTGTTGTCACACATGTTGAATATCTTAAATTTTCTCATTCTTTAGGCAATCATGACCCGTTGGCTTGTAAAGACTTTAATACTAGTCAACATGTTGCTAACTTTAAACAATAAAGCCATATGTTGCTCTTTTTAGTCTGGAATAAAGGTAGATCAAGTTGTAAAAGGCTGAAAGATCTGTGTTTATTTTGGCAAACTAATCAATAGTCTGATAGCAATGGGATTCTAAGAGACCACATGTGGGTCAACAGATTAAGGGGTATAAATCTCCTATCTGTTATAAGTCTATAAAAGCAGCCGGAGGAATTAGTATGTGCGACGATATACAGGTGATGCACCTTTGCATTGAAAGCAGCCAGAGAGGAATCTGATTAGGAGGCCTACTGAACTCCTTCTATTGAAGGTTACCAAGGCACGTCTCACCAGTAGGAGACCCTGGGGGTAGACCGAGCACTGCACTATATATCCCTTTCTGGTCTGGAATTCAGTTAGCGATCCCACATGGGGAGAAAGAGAGTGTTGCTGGGTCAAGGGGTTGCCTGGGTTTGCTTCTTGAACCTCTCACTTGCGCGTCCTGACCTCAGCTATGCTAAAGGCAATGGATTTGTGCTGAACATGTTCTCAAGGGATGGTAATAAGAGACAGATTCTGTTATCAGTTTGGAAACTGCACTAGATAATTAGTTTGCTCCTATAAGACGCTTTCAATGTTCTAGATAACCTTTAAACAACAGGAAAGAATAATTTTCTTTCATCTAATGAAGAAAGTAGCCTCTTTTCTTTGTTGTTGCCTATTAATAATTGCATACAAGTGTTAAGCAAAGATCAAATGATAATGCAAGATTTAATAATCCCTTTCCAATTTAATCAGGGCTCCTGTTTGGCTGCACAAACCTTTTTCTAAATCCTAATGGAACATTTTCTGCTAAATACGAATAATGATAAACTAGGCAACAAGTTATTCTTTTTAACTTGTTACCAAAATTTTATTATATAAGCTCTAACAAAATATGAAATTAGGGCAAGTGTTAAGCAATCACACCTTAGATTAAGTTGTAGCAGCAAAGAAGTAGGTCTATAGAGAATCTTGACTGTATTTTAAGTAGGTTTTTCTGTGATAGACCAACACAAAATAGGTTGCAATTGTGACATCAAAGGAAAATTACGCATTTTAATCTATGAATTGTTTTTTTTAGGAAGAAAAAGTCTATTTTCAGTTGCTCTTAGTCAGTACCAGGTAGAACCACCTATGGCTTTAAGTCTTTTGCTGGTTTCTTTCTCCACACTTTCTTCATCCAGGATCATTTTGTTTTATTGCCCTTTCTCGCAAAGTATCTAAATTTAAGGATAGATGCAGTACTCATCTGGCTTGAAATTCGCAAGTTTTGCTATATACTTTCAATTGCACCTTTCTAATGTGTTATACTGTCTTAACTGTGACTCTGGTAGTATGTTGTCTGCAGGAAAGTCCTTTGTTTCAAGCCTTTTAACAACCTATAACAAGCTGTCGTCCAAGATGGTAAGTGAAATTACTCCAGGTTCAGTACATGTCTGTTTTTTTGTGAGTGATTGGCATAGGGCTGAAACAACTAATCGGATAAATCGATTATTACAATAATTGTCAACTAATTTAGTAATCAATTAATTGATAACTTGAGTATAGAGACACTAAAACATGCCTTTAGCTGACAGAGCAACGCACTTAGAGCGGTAATTATACCAAAATT